TCTCATCTTTGTTGATCTCAAGACATTCTGATGGTGGAATTTGGGGACTTTGCTAGTTCAGTGCTAATAGGCCTTGCGGGCAGCTTACAGGAGGAGTCTGGCGTGTGGAGTCTGCCTGACTACAGCTGTGTTGGGCCACCGCTGTCTCACCACCTTTACTGGGCCCATCTTTACTCAGTGGGCTGAGTCTTTTTGTTCATAATCTTTAAATATAAGTTGTCACTGTGATGTTGTTGTTAGGTGCTGACAGGTCAAGTGTGACCCACAGTGAGCCTGTGAGCACGGCGGAGCTGAACCCTGTCCTATTCCATGCATTTCGGACATACTTGAGCCCACTGCTGCAGTCACGGTGTCAGTTCATCTGGTTGAGGGTCTACCTCGCTTTCACCTGCCCCCACCTTTCCAAGTATGATGTCCCTTTCCAAGGAGTAGCCTCTCCTGACAACATACCCAAAGGATGTGAGAGGAAGCTGTGTCTTCTTTGCCTCCAAGGAGCACTCCCGCTGCACCTTCTCCAAGACACGTCTGGGTGTGCTTTTTCCAGCATCACAGCTCAAAGACATCAGTTTTCCTGATAGGTAGAGATTTTTGTCAGTTCACGTGGAAGAACTTCCCAGATGACCTCTGTTGTGTTGGGGTTTTAAAAAAATTAATTTTAATGAAAATTTACAAAAACTTAGGTTTCCATTCATTCATTGTTGCACTTTTCTTCCTGCCCCTCCCCCCCAATTCGCTCTTCTCTTTGAAAAGTAAAAGAAAAACTCTTTCATTGTTATGCAGTTTCTCCCCCCAAGTCCACTTCACTGTGCAGCCTTCATTCGATGACCTTTGCTTTTAATAACACCAACCTCCCAGAACCCCTTTGCCTCCACAGCTCTTGATCCTGATGCGACAGGAGCTGAGGATGCATTACAATTTGGGGAGGTGTCTTCTTCGGTCATGTTATCTGGAAAAGTACAATCTCTGGAGAAAGATGTCAAGCTTGGTAAGCAAAAATGAGGAAGACCCTCAAAGAGGTGGCTTGACACCGTGTCTACTACAATGCACTTGAATGTAGCAATGATTGTGAAGATGTAACAGTACTGGGCAGTGTTTTGTTCTGCCATAGACAGAATCTGTGCATTGGCACTAACTCGGTGCTTAGCAGCTTTGGCCAACCCCACTTTTGAGTCTTGGGATACATTCAAGGTCGTATTTTGCCTCTTGAGGACATAATTTAATTTTCTTCAACTTCAATCTGAACTTGGTATTGTGCCCCACAGTCACTGCTGGTCTGGCTTTGACTTCTGGTGTGGAATTTATCTAGAATGTCAGAAGAGCCAGCAAATCTGTGTTGAAGGAGGTGTAGCCAGAGTGCTTCTTAGAGGTAGGAGTGGTGAAATGCCATTTCACTTGCTGTGAGCTTTTCAGGAAGAACCAGTCCTTGTAAAGAGATATCATGTTGGGAAAGGTAAGACAGTCAGCAAAGAGAGGAAGACCCTCAATGAGACGGATTGACCACTGTAATGACCACAGTGGCCTTGAGGAGGACAGAGATCATGAGGATGGCGCAGGGCAGGGCATGGGTCAGGTCTGTTGTTTATAGAGTCACTGAGTCATAGTCGACTCGATGGCACCTAACGCCAGGAACAATCCTTAAGTCTTTGTGGTCCCCTTCTCTGTGATGGGGCTTAGCATGTTTGCATGATAGTGGAACCCATGGAAGTCCTGAGGATGTGGAAGTGACCAGTCTCCGGTCTGCTCCGACATGAGGTCAGCTCTGTCCAGTGAAGCTGAGTTACATGTGCAGTCTATGAATTGAACCTGAGGTTGGTGGCTGTTGTGCCCCAGGGAATTCCTGCCTGGTCCTTGTCATTGAGGGGGTCCCTCTCATGAAGTCACCCCTTGGATCCGCCTTTTGTCCCCATGACTTGAACCCTTGAGTGGGAGGCACTCAGCCTCTCAGAGCCCACATTTCCCAAGAGACCCCTCGCAGCTCCAAAGCAGTTCCTCATTCTTCCTTGCAAAGTTATTGTATTCCCAATGAATAAACATATACTATCTGCATAATAAACTTTGGAATATTTTTCTCTGCCAGAGACAGCTCAGAGCGCTCAGAAATGTACTTTAATATGTTGGAAAAAAATAATAGAAATGCTGTTAAAAAATTGCCTGCTTCTTGGTTTTAATACTGAAACCAACTTTCTGTTCTTAATTTTTGTTTGTCTCTGTTCACTCGTGGGTTCTATTTGAGTGCCCGAGGGCTAGTGTAACAAATTGCCACAAACCCCACTGAGGTGGTTTATAAACCAAAATAAGTTTATTTTCTCCCAGTAACTGGGGACTAGAAGTCTGAAATCAAGATGTTGGCGGGGCTATCCTTTCTCGAAAGTCTCCAGTGAGAGTTTTTTCCAGGCCTTTTCCTCTGTTTTGGGGGTTGCCCACAATCCTTGGCATTCTTTGGCTTGCAGATGTATCGCTCCAGCCTCTGCTTCTGCCATCACATGGTGTTCTCCTCGTTCTCTGGTCTCTCTTCCTCCTGTTAAGGCACCAGTCATACTGGATTAGGGCCCACCCTAGTGATATCATCTTAACGTGATTCCATATGCAAAGACCCTAGTTCCAAATAAGGTTATCTTCAAAGGTTTTGTGGCTTCGGTTTTTGTGGTATCTTTCTGGGGCATTGTGTCTTTCGGCCTAGTTTTCTGCCTATGTTAAGGAGTGTCTAGGTCTGCAAAGAAGAGAATTATGGTTCTCCCTGTGAGAGTGATCCGTTGAAGCACACCTGGATTTCTCCTGAGAATAGTTATAAGTTTATCCTAACTCGGTTGTTTTTTGGGAGTCATTTGTAGCTACTTTGATTTAAAAGGAATTTGTAAGCACAGCTGGGATGTTCACAGATGAGCTGGGCAGTTGTGACTGGACAGAACCAAAGGTGGCCTGGTGGGCTGCTCTGAAGGGTCCTATTTGACCTTTTGTTCTAGCTCTTGTGTTCACAACTAAGAATAAGTCATTGTTCTAGGAACCTCTGATTTTACTAGAAATGCCTCGTGACCTTTAGAGGTGGCATTCAGGTGGGCAGTAACATAGTTTCTAACACAACCACTGGCAAAGGGAAGATGATATATTTAAGAAATAACCCTTTAGACGTATATCTAGAATTTATAAAATACTCACACACCACAACAAGATAAAGGTAAATAACCCAGTTGATAAATGGGCACAGGATATGCCCACAGGTGAATAGACACTTCACCAAAGAAGACATTCAGATGGCTAACAAACACATGAAGAAATGTTCAAAATCCCTAGCTCTATAAGAGATGCAAATCAAAACAACTATGAGATATCATCTCACCCCAGTAAGAATAGCAAAATTTAACAGAACAGCAAACATCAAATGCTAGCGATGTTGTGGAGAAACTGGAACCATTACTCATTGCTGGTGGGAGTGTAAAATGGTGCAACCACTGTGGAAGGCTGTATGGTGCCTTCTCAAAAAGTTGCAAATAGAAATACTATTTGACCCAGCGGTTCTACTGCTGGGAATTTACCCTAAAGAAACCATCACTGCCACACAAGCAGATATATGCACACCCACGTTTATTGCAGCTTTGTTCACAATAGCAAAGAGCTGGAAACAAACCAAGTGCCCATCAACAAACGAATGGATAGAGAAGCTCTGATATATTCCCATAATGGAATACTATGCTACATTGAAAAACAAGGAACTTATGAAGTTTTATGCAAAATGGGTGACCCTGGAGGACATTATGCTGAGTGAAATATCTCAGTCACAAAAGGACAAATATTACATAGGGCCACTGTTGTAAAATGGGACTGACATTATGGTTGAGGGAAAACAGAAAAAGAGGGCAGGAATGATGTCTATTGCATTGAAACAGATGAGGGAGAGATCTGTTTAAAAGGGATAGATGAATGGGTATTCTTGTCATTACAGAAGTCCAGAGTGAAGGCTGCATAGTGGAGTGAACTTGTGGGAAGGGATTACATAACAATGAAAGAGTTTTTCTTTTCCTTTTCAAGGAGAGAGTGATTGGGGGGGTGGACAGGGAGAAAAGTATAACAATGAATGACTGGAAATCCTAACTCTCTGTAAACTTTCATTAAAATGAATAAATTTTTTAAAAAGAAATAACCCTTTAATTGAATACAGAATCAAATAGGTGAGAGGAAAGAAAGAAATAACTAGGTGAAGCCTGCCTACTGCCACGTGGGACGGGAGTTCTGCCGAGTGCCTGGGCAAAGGTGTGCATTTTTCCCTAGTAATGCTTTGCCCACTTCCGTCTACTGGTCTTTGATCTTGGACTTGACAGGTGGCCCGTATACCTCCAGCATGGCCATCCACAAGCGCCGGGAAGGATGGGAGAAGCAGCAAACCTTGTGGTCCAGCTTGGAAGTTCTGATGTCAGGAACTGGAGGCTGCTGCCCCGTTTTTGTTTCTCAGGTTGCCATGAATAAAAGGGGTCAGAGAAAATCAGATCAGCCGTGATCTGTCTTTTACATTCAAATCCGAGATCCTGAGATATCCTGTTCTAAATGGAAAAGATACATGGAATATTAGAGAGCTGATTGAGTTTTTTCCATAAAATTTCCTAAGAATGGCATTGATAAGTGAGGAGTAACTCCAAGTGTAGATTATCTGGGGCTTGTTTGTGTGTGGGTAAAAGGCTATAATGGCTCCGTGGAGGCCCATCAGCATGTCTTCACACAGTTTTCTTGAAGAACTAGGACCAGGAGAAGACCTTTTTGATCACAGACTATATACAGATTTTCTTTGAAAGCCTGACCTTTGGGTCTGTATGTTGTAAATTGAATCAACTACTGTGTAGGATGGAAGACAGAGGCATTACAATCCAGTGCTTTTCACTTGGGGCCAAGTTCATGGCTTTGGTCGGCTCCCTTCTCATCACTGAGAGACTCTGGCTGGGCTCTGCTGGGTTTCTGGCCTTCAAAAGTGGAGCCAACATTACATCTGCATCTTTGTATTTTGTATCCAGGTTTCGGCCGACTCCAGCTCCTCCGTGAACTCCAACACCCCACTGGTGAGGATAACAACACGTCTCTCCTCCACGGCGGACACCCCTATGCTGGCCGGGGTCTCTGAGTATGAATTGCCGGAGGATCCAAAGTGGGAGTTTCCGAGAGATAAGTAAGTCCTACTTCTACTAGGAGCACTGTGGATGGAGATGTAGATAGAATATAAATGGGTCTGCAGTGACCTTTCCTTTCCTTTAGCTGCAAAGGTCTTTGAACAAAGTCATTAGGAGTGAGAAAGATTGTGTTTCCAAATAGCCAATTCCTGGAAAAGGAAATAATTGATCCCTTGTGTTAGTCTGTTTTGATAACTTTCTTCTAAGATACATGTTGAATCATGGCTGGTTCCCAAAAAGGATAGTGTCTGGGTAGCACTTTTGTAATTTCTAAACCATTTCAACATAGTCAAATGGAATCAACTTGGAATTAATCCATTTTGTGAAAGAGACCCAATATTTTATTTCCTAGTAACTAGAATGTGAGTATGTTGTTGTTGTTGTTGTTCATTTCCTTCGGATTGAGCACAACTCATAGCGACCCTATGAACAAAAGGCCTGAAGCCCCTCCACAAGTATCGACATTTATCAAAGTTCACAGAGGTTCTGGGGGCGTGTTGTTTAGGAAGTGGATGCCACTTAGATGCTGAATATAAATTATCCAGTGAAGGATCCCCAGTGTTACTTCTCTTGAGGATTTCCCATGTAATAACTAGCTGTGAAGCGTCAAATGGTAATCTCATTTCCAGGAGGCCACCGTGTTTTCCTATTGGTATTACAACTGGATATTAGGTCTGAGCAAGGCCACCTGAGCTGCTGAAGGTGAAGGTGCAGGTGCAGGTGAAGGTGAAGGTAGCCTGGGGACTTCTTGGTCAGGTCTGACCTTCATGTGCATTGAACTCTGTTGATTGGAGTCTGTTGGCCATGGACTGGGCAGCCTTGGGTGGGTCACTCCATTCTCAGTCTTCCATTGTGTAAGTCACAGTGCAGGTCTCTTGGGGCTGAACACACCCTTTGGCTTCTGCTCCTTTTCTTTCCCCTCATAATGTCTGATCACCTGGGAGCTCTGGACTTCAGTCCTCAGAAGATGGATGTGCTCGCCTCAAAGCAGTGAACACATTTTTGATGACCTCCCCTTCCTCTAGGCAGGAGGCTCCACCCACATTCACCCCCTGAGAAGAGACTGCGCAGGCCATGAAGGGTTTCCACTCGCTCTGCTTACTTTTTGTAAGGATATCTTAGTGCGGCGGAGTGTGCAAATGCCACTTGCATTTCTACAACACGGAAACCTGAATAAACCTTCGGCTTGCTTATATCTGCTCCCTCCTTCATCGTGACATTTGTGAACCGTTCAAAGCATGTGTCAGAGAAGTATGGCGTTAACTACACAAGACACTTCCAGGCAAGTTGGGAAGGCAGAGCTAACTTTCTCCAGCTACCGAATGGCGCCAGCTCTGTTTCAGAGGAGAGGTTGTTTACGTGGCCCTTTAGATTTTGCTTCAAACATTACACCCGTAGACACTTCAACCCCATCCTTCACCCATATATACTCGGTCCACAGAACTGAACCTATATATGTAATGCCCATCCACACTGCACCAATATATATAGTATACCTGTATCCATTGCACCCATATTTGGTGCACTTGTGTATATCACTCTCGTGTCCACTGCACCCATTTACTGTATACATCTATGCATTGTAACGACCTCTGTACACTTCACTCATATAACACGCACTCGTAATCTCCACATCCATATACACTAAACCCATCAGAAAGTGTCATGCGTGAGTGTCCACTGCACTCCGATGCACTGTAGGATCATACACCACACCCATGTGCCCTGTACCCACACACACTACACCCACACACACTGTGGAGGTACACCTCGCATTCATCACTCATAAACACTCCACCTGTGTCTTCTCTCAGCAGCTTCTTTGGTCAGTTGCATGCGCACCATAAACTCAAACCAAGCAGAGTTGCAACTCTTGCTCCCTGAAACTTGTGAATCGAAGCAATTGCCAACCTATTAGACACAGGAGTGAAAAGACCATTCATCCAGTTCACCACCCATCCATCTGTTTCTCCATTTGAGACTTGTTTCTTGTGTATGTGCTGGTGAGACCCCAGTGGAAACGTGGAATTGGTTCTTCGCCTGTCGACTGTTGGAGGGAGGAGTGTTGCTTGTGCAGCCTCCCAGCGTGCTGCTTTGTGAGTGATTAGACCAGCTCGTGGCCTGAATCGGGCAGTTGTCGACATGGCCAGGACCAGCCATGGGTGTGAGGCCTCATCAACAGTGGGCGTCTGTGTGTGCGAGGCCTTTAGCCCCCATCCAGGGGTACCTGGAGTGTGGAAAATCTGAGTGCTGAACGTTTCAAAACAGTGTTTAACACAAATGAAGGTGGAACCCATTTCCAATGAATGAAGGCTATTTAGAAGCCGTTTATTAGATCGGGGGCAAAAGTTACACAAAGAAAGGATTGTTGTGCTTGTATAGCAGGGCAGGAGGACATAAATTAGCCATTTTTCCAATGCAAATGTTTGTTTTCTGCCAAGATGTTAAATTTAATTTTAGCTGTGGAGGGAAACGGAATGACCTCAGCAGAATGCATGCTGCCCTCTCAGTCTGAGACTGAGCCTCTGAAAACCTGCGTGTACTTCACTCAGTACTGCTCACAGACGGCTGCTCGGAGCTGGGCTGGGGGAAGCTGAAGTTACAAAACCGCATTCGTAGGGATCCCAGAGAACTCCATGCTTGGTGTGCTGGAACGCCTGAGGACGATATACGGGGATTAGAATGATGTGAATACAGCTTCCGAGCTTGAGAATTTAGAATCCTTGTTGGGTTTGGTGTAGGTTTTCGTCATTCATTTTCATTTTCCATAGGATTTCTGATGTACCCACTTCACCAAAAATATTACCCTTCCCTTTCCAAAGGGTCCTGGGAAATGTTTAATCATGTCAGTTGGCAAGAATTGTGATGATCTAGTCCATTAGTATTTGAAGAATGGTGATTTGAAAGTTGTCAATTCACAGAAAACAAGAGTTGCTTGAGCTTTTTCTTTTCCTCTGCGTTTGAGACCTTCTAATTATACATATCATATTGGCCCTGGATCTAAAATGCCCTCCTCCTGGTCATTTGGGAATGCTGACCACTTCCCTCACAAGAGATACCATCCAGAAAGAAAATAAACTAAGACTACCTGTGTGAAATTCCATAGCTGCTCCCCTAGCAATTGGCATTCTCTAAAAGGTTTCTAAGAAAATACTCGCACGCGTGTGTACCCCGAGTCTCATTAGTTCCATATGACAAATGCTCTTTGCTTCAACAAGCTGCGGAAAGATTGTTATATTCTGTTCTGGAATCTAACTCGCAGCACCGCCCCCACCAGATGCTGTGTGCTAATCCCTGTTTCCACGTTTAGGCTGACGCTGGGGAAACCCCTTGGGGAAGGTTGCTTTGGGCAAGTGGTCATGGCTGAAGCTGTGGGGATCGACAAAGAGAAGCCCAAGGAAGCAGTCACTGTGGCCGTAAAGATGTTGAAAGGTGAGTGGAGCTGGGGAGAGGGTGGGATAGCTTATCAAGAACGTTCTTTTGTGGAACTCTTATCATGGCAGGAGGGTCAGAGGGCACCTAACTAACCTGGAGGTTGACAAGTTGTCCGAATCAATCAGCGTTTTGGACAGAGTGTTTATCTTGAGCCGTGCATGCTTTCAAAAAGAAAAGAAAAGCCAGTGTTGCTAGGGAGTGGTGCCTCTAAATTGTATTATGCTTTGAGCCCTTGTGGAGCTCTGAGGTGTGTTGTGTGATGAGTTGCACTGCTAACTGAAAGATCAGTGGTTCAAATCCACTAGTTGGTCTACATATTAAAGATGGGCTGTCCCCTCCCATAAAGATTTAGTCTTAGAAACCTGATAGAAGGTTGCTAGGAGCTGAAACCAGCTTGATGGGAGCGGGCTTGGTGTTCTGGTTTCTGACTCCTTACAGGTGACCAAGATTTTCATTCTCTCCAGTTCTCATGTGCGTGGAATGTGTTAACCCACACAGCATCGTTTCATGTAGACGAGATTGGCTGGTTTACTTCACTAAGTTGGAAAGTTGGTGTTTTGTGAAGACACAAGGACTTTAGAAGTATTTTAAAATATACGACTAGAATGTTCCTTGGAAACAAGGAAAGGCAGGCATGTCTTACTTTATTTTAGAAAGTCAAGGACGACCAGTGACTTGGAGAAGTGTGCCGTGTTAGGTAACGTGGAGGGTCAGAAACTTAGGAAAACCCTCAATGGGATGGGTTGACGTGATAGCGTCAACAGTGGACGTAAGTCAGAGCAGAGATCACAGACGGGGCACAGGACCCACAGGGCTCCGCTCTGTTGTCTACAAGGTCATCATAAATGGGTGTCCTCTTGGCGGGAACTGATTCCAAGGGGAGCACAGTTGTGGAGGAACTTAGCAGACACGATGCTGGCCTGAGGGAGTCACGGAGCAACTTTAAAAGGAACTTACAGGAAAGGTGCTGACCCAGAACCTTCGGGGTAAAGAGTTACCCCAAAGTGTAAGCACGGAGTTGCTTTTGTGAGAGTCTCTTTTTGCAATAACCTTTCAATCTTGCTTCGTCCCTGTATCTAAAGACCTTAAAGAACTTTTAACCGTTAACTTCTTCCTCCCGTGGTGTTCTGTTAGGAGAAGTGTTAGAGGGAACGGTCACATTATAAATCCTGTTATGGGGACCTCAGGAAAGGAGCTTTCGGGCCGGGGCTGAGTTATCCCACATGCCTGGCAGAGAGCTTGCATGGTGGGGTTTGAGGTGCTCCACCTGGTGTCGTATCAGCCGACAGGCGAGGTCAGCATGGCCTTGGGTGCGCGCTCGCTGGTCTGTGTTGGGCTTCACTGCATCCCACAGGTTGGTAAGTGAGCACAGGAAGCCTCTGCGTGCCTTCCTGAGGGGGCGGGGGTGTCAACGGAGGTCCACTTTTCCTTTTTGGGGTTTTCTGGGGTGACCAGCACCCTCCACCCCAGAAAAAAACCAAAGGCAGAGTTTTTGGCTGCTGAGATGTGACAGTTCCTGAGGAGAACTGGGGTGTTTTGAGGTAGGTCTTTGCTTGGGGTTTGCTGTTTGGGAGAGAACTGTTCCCTCTTACCCTGGTGTTGTGGCACCACTGACAGACACCAGCTCCCACCCTGGAGTCCACCTGAAATGCTTAAAGTGCTGAGAAGGTGCGAGCAGGTAGTCTCAGTCTGTCACCTTGGCAGACCTCCTCTCTCGGGCCCTCAGAGTTCTTTCAGCATCTTCGATGGGCCAGAGGACCAGTACCATGTCCTGACGGCAGAAAACGGGTCTGTGATTATAAAGATGAAAGAACTGGCCTTAGCTCCCGAGAGCTGCACTCGGCACCCCGGTTTAGCTGTTTGACATGCAGAGACTCAGTCTCCTGTGACATCCTGGTCTCCTCACCAAGCAATGAGGACGCCGAGACCAGAAGATTGGGAAAGTCTCTGATTCTAAATGTGAATTTCACAGCGTCAGCCAGATTTTGATCAACTCTTGTATGTTGGTGATGGAAGGAGTCCTGGTGGCTCAGTTGTTAAGTGCTCAACTGTCCACTGAAAGGTTAGTGTGAAACCACCAGTCACTCTGAGAGAAACACGGGCCTGCTGCTTCTACCTTGGAAAGCCAAGTGGTGGTTCTGCCCTGCCTTACAGAGTGAGTCACTGTGCGTTGGACTTGACTTGATGGTCGTGAGTTTTTTGTTTTTAGTGATGGCAGGGGACTTTGATAGCTCAGTGGCAGAATTCTTGCCTTCTGTTTGCAATGCCTGGTTCAGTTCTCTTATACACTGGTATCGGCTGTGTGTCTGCACAGACTTGTCGGTTGCTCTCATGCTGATCAGCTTTTAGCAGAGTTTCTAGACTGAAATGGATGCAAAAGAAAGGCCCAGGTGATCTTACAAAACTTGGCCAGTGAACCGTATGCGGCACAGAGATGGTTCTGGGCCCTGGTGCGGGGGGTCCCCATGAGGGGAGCAGACTTGACAGCAGCACACAACAGTGGGGTGCAAGCAGTGATGACAGACGAACTCATGGAAGGGAACTGATGTGTCATCTGCCTGATGTTTGCAGATGACGCCACAGAGAAGGACCTTTCTGATCTGGTGTCAGAGATGGAGATGATGAAGATGATCGGAAAACACAAAAATATCATAAATCTTCTTGGGGCCTGCACGCAGGATGGTGAGTAGGGGGAGAAGGGCTTTCGTGCAAACACTCCTCTGTTTAACGTGAGAACCAGTGTAGGAACCGCTGGCCTTTTGGAAGCTGTGCCTGGGGCACCTCAATTGCATGCTTTGGGTTCCTTTTAAAAGCCCTTGAGGAGATGGTTTCCAGCCAGGAGCACAAAGAGTGCTGTGTGGGGCTGAGGGAGCCTGCTGGGTCCAGGGCAGGACCCCCAGGTGTGGCCTGGCAACAACCGTCCCCTGAGCTGCCCTTTTGCTTTCGAAGCGCTGAGTAAAATTTTCAAAATCAGACACTGTGGTTTTGGTCTTTCCCCAAAGGAAGGGACAGGAATCGTGTTGCCTGTGCACATGGTCACCGAGCTTCCAAGAATAGCATCAAAGAGGAGAAAGTGATATAAAAGAGCTTATTGTCTCCCGTAGGGGAGAGAGACCCCCAGCTTCCCCCACTGCAGCACTCTGAGAGACAGTTCGATGGTCATTAATGAGCCCCGACATTCCTGTCTTTGAGTTAGTTTTTCTGTGTAAATCTGCGTAAGGGATTGGCCGGTGTTTTACATACAGGGCCAGGTAGCCATGGTTTTAGGTTTTTCAGACCAGACGGGCTTTGTCACAGCTCATCCCGGCTGGTTCAGGGAGGAAGCACTTTGGACGATCCATAAGTAAACAGGCCTGGCCGGGTTCCAGGACCTCTGTGTACACAGATTGGCAGTGGGCTGGACTTGGCCGTGGCAGGAGTTTGCCAGCTTCTCACCTATACCAGGGAGCAGCTAGTGGACATGAGCATAGGGACCCGAGTGCAGACCATCACTGTGCACAGCTGGCCGGGGCCCCTTGCAGCCTGCAATGCAAGTCCCTGTGGGTGACGGAGTGTGTTATATAAAGTCCATTTGTTGTCCTTTTGTGGCAATTTTTTCTTTTTTAAATAATGAGCCCAGGAAAGTGTTTGTGCACATGTGATAAACATTCACACATAAATGTGCATAGTTTGTATAGAAAGCAAATGTACAAAGGACTTGCTTGGTGTGCCAAAAAAAAAATTTCAAATTTATAGTGTGCACATTATTTGCTTAAAAATGTGGTTCATGATCACATGGTCCAGATGTATTTTGTCAGCTCACCTGGATTCCAGAAGGACTTTAGGTGGTGAAAGTGTCTCAGAGCTCGCACTCTCTGCTTCTTTGATGTGACTGAAAGGAGCCATGATAGTCCTGTGGGTGGGCACTCGGCTACTAACTCGGGAACGGAGCTCTCCTGGCCTATTGGTAAGGAGACGCACTGCCAACCCAAAGGCAGGCAGTTCGAATTCACCAGCTTCTCTGAGAGAGAAATAGGACACTCTGTTCTCATGTGACTTACCTGAGAGTGTTGGAAGGTCATTTGTGAGTTGGCTTTGACCTAGTGGCTCGTAACAGCACAGCTAACCAGAAGGTTGGGTGTTTGAACCCACCAGCCACTCTGTGCTGTGGGAAAGCATCTACTTCCATGCATATTTACAGCCTCAGAGACCCTGTGGGACAATTCTAATCTTTTGCACAGGGCTACTGTAGGAATTGACCAGGTGTGTGATGAAAAATGATGCACGCATGCATATATGTAAAAATATTTAAAATGGATTGAATTAATGATGGGGTTATTCTATGATGGGATAAAAAGGACATTGGTGACACAGTTAGCTTGGTTTCTGAGAGTGAAGCTTTGTTTTATTGTGTAAAAACTTTGGAAAGATTTCGTGAAGTACTTAACGACATGGATGAGACTAGAACAGATTATGCCGAGTGACGTCAGTCAGTCACAAAAGGACAATTATGGTATAAGGACACAAAAAACTGTTGTGACCATCGAGTCAGAACCAGACCATCACTGACCCTCTAGCAGCTTTGCGGCATCAGTTAATTACACAGGAGGAGATGGCTTCTCAGTCTTGGAGGAATAACAGAAGTGAGCAGCAAGTGGGAGGGGAATAAAAAATTAAAAAGAAAAGAAAACTTTTCTAAATAGGT